GGACAATACATAACAGTGGAGTTTCCATTTCGGTTCTGGTGTAGGAATAACTTGATCCCAAGACAGTCCCAAGACCAAGACAAATGAAATGAAGACTACTAGGCCCGTCAACCTCCTCCCCTGGTATAGCGCCACCCTGATCCAGGTGAGCTATACATGTATCGCACGCTGCTGGAGTAAACAATGTTGACACTGAAGTTTCGCTCTCGTGTGCCTCTCCTATAACGTCCAAAACTCTGATGAATTGCATGAGTATACAGACACACAAAAAGGATCAATGATAAAAACAAACAGATCTTGTCTAATTAAATGCAATTCATCAACACTGGAAAAAATTCACCTATCACATACCATGAAATGAGATTCGGAACTCGTAAAACCAATACAACCTGCTGAAAGGTTAAGTAAAACTGACTTGGAAGAGTAACAGAATTGAAACTGTGAGATTTGTTGCACAAGTCCGGCTGACCACTGAGTCTCCCAGAATCCTCCACAGGAAACATTGTCAATTATAAAGCCCTGGATGGATGCCTTACTTGCATTAAGACGGCACTGACGTAATTTAACCTTTCTCATCAAATCTTCTTCAGGGAAGGCTAATACCGATCTTAAGTAGGTGGAAACAGTTTGAAGAGGTTGATCTGTACAGTCTGGAGACAACTTAGCCAAGATTGGGAAGAAACTGAGATGTTCCCTACTCTACTTACAGTTATGCAAATTCACAATTGTGGCATTGATAAGGCGTACAGATGTCAGCATCCCTGCCGACCCCTAATCTGCGTGTCGCAGGTGTAATTGTGCACACTGTTGTCCCTTAAATCCCTGCGCTGTCGGAGAGACGGAGGGCATCATCAAATTCTCAGTTACAAGTAATCACTGTAAAATCTTTTCATGAGGACACACTGCTACAGTTAGGTCAATGCTGCCAGTGGATTTGGGGGTCAATGGGATTGCTTTCAAGAACATTAATTTCCTTAAACAATTTCCACAGAGCACCTGTGGTTTCCTGGCAACAGTCTACAGACTAGACAATGGTTATACACATATATGTCCTCTTATTCTTATTGTTATTAAAGGATAACAACTTCCACATTGCCTTAATGCTACTTCATGTCCTTTCATAAGCTGAACATATGGGCAAGAAAGACTCCTTAAACATCGTCATAAACAACAAAGAAGCTGTGGCAATGAAAGTTTCACAGGTTAATGTTGTACCTGCTCACTTTGAAGGACTAGGGGTGGTTTGTGTGGACTTACCCATCTGTAGACCAACAAACTCCATATCACCATTAACATCATGCGTTTCCAGGCATCAATAAATTTACATTTATATTTAAGAATCTAACTTGAAGATAAACCAATCGATGCCAATGTTGTAGTCCCATGTCAGCGGTTATTACCATACAGAGGAATTCTGAAATAACACTCTCAAATTTAAAAGAATTCTTTTTAATGTGTAGACACTAAAGTAATATATCCATTATCTCACCACATATTTCTTTCATATTTCATATTTTCATACAGAATTTCAGCAAATGTCGCTATCTGAATTCTGAAAAATGTCCAGTGAATTACAATGCATGAAAAGTTACAAAATTGTGCTGAATCAACAAAAAAACTAGATCCACGTGAATATTCCAGACACCAGACCTTTAATTGTTTGGCACGAGTCGAGGCAAATCAGAGGATGTGAAAATGGTGGGTTTCTTAATGCCTGAGACTGGTGCTTAAAGTATCTGAAAAAATTAAGGCGGGATGGGCATACAAAGATTTAATCAATTATTGAATTTTTCAAATTTGTTTTTACCAGAACTTAATTTCAGATTATGTTGCCAAGTAAGTGTTCAGTTCAGTCAGTCTTGAAGATTTTACAGAGTTCTTGTCTATACAGCACATTATCAGTTCCATTTGGCACAGTGATGTATATTTTCAGGGCCCGATCCACAAATCCCTCAAACACTGTCGAAGTGTTGCATGTGGTGATATTACAAACCATACATTATGGGCTGTTATTGTGAGCATCTATCGATAAGCACTACATCAAAGAAGAAGCATAATACCTTTATAGCGGACGTGCATTGTTGGATGTTGAAGGATACAGTGATGTTAGCATCAATTTAAAAAGAGAAACTGACAACATGGTTTGGTGAGCATGAAGCACAGCGCTTAGCATGAAGACAAGACGACAGTGTTATGATATTTACCAGCAATACGTGGGGGGTATCAAGAAGAGGATGTGGTACAGGACCAGACTGTCGTAAGGCTATAGATATTACACTATAGGAGGGATGACAGTCAAAGCGCTATGATAGCTTTGTGAAATGGGGACTAGGTTCCTGTCTGCCAGTTTGTTGCTACAGAATATTAGTTACATAGTCCTGAGGAAGAGGTTTCCGGGGTGACAAGCCAGCGCTTTAACCATGAGACAGGACACAGAGAACCATTAATGCTGATTTGGGCCAGAACGTGGGATTTTCTATTTTACAGAAGAACTTTGATCCTGCAACAATTCAAAATGCCTGTGTTTGACTGAAAGTATGCATTTTCTGGATTTTGGTCACCATAATTTATGGTGTTTAGAGGCCTCTTGCTTCTGAATGTAAATTCTAGAAGCCAAATAATAAAACTTGGCCTGAATATCTACAATTAGTCATATTGTCTATCCTTGTGATACACAATGTACAAGACTAAAGCAGGTAATGAGAGGACTTTTATTCCAACATTTATAAACACTAATTGGAATTATTTTAAATGCACATGCTACTTATTTCGCCAATCCAATATATGGACAACATATTGCCAATTTGTCAATCCAATATACGGACAATATACTGCCAATTTGTCAATAAATTTGCACTTATGGGACTACTTACACTCTTTCATAAACGAAAAGTAAAAAGCAGGGGCATAACTGCCAGTCATACTGACAATATGAACCCTTGTTCACGTCAGCTTAAATAACAGGATATATCTCCAGAGACGCTTAGTCTCTCTGACATGCGTACAGAGACGCTTAGTCTCTCTGGCATGTGTATAAAACAACCAGAATTGTATAGTAGACTCTGCTTTGGGCAGGGATTTCTCAAGATTAAGAGAAAAAATTTCTTTGGTTTTATTTTTAGACCCCAGAGCATGTATTTAATGAATCATTCACCCCCATTCCACTCTCATCCCCTTCTCATCTCTCCTAGCCCATACTCATCCCCTTTCTAGCTGTGGGTCTGAACCTGAGAGACACAAGGATTCGTAATACTCGAAGGTGTCTTAAAGGAAACATTCTTTTTTTAAACCATCCATGTATGTTAGGCTTTAGAGATGATATCCTTCATGTTCCTGATATCATTCCTGCAGACACTATGGTCTACTACCTTAACTCTGATTGTGTCAGGAAAAACAAATATAGAACCAGAAATGAAGAACGTCTTCATCACATTAATGAAAGTGAAATGTTTTTATTAAGCACACAAACCCCACACTGATGGCTTGTGAGTTAAATCATGCCATGCATTACATTTAAATGGAGAGAAACTTCCCAACGTCAGATGACTTGAGTTGGGAAGGTGACTTGTAATATCAGAAAATAGCTTTTCACTGACCAAAGACAAGCAAATTACATTAATGAAAGTGTTGACGAGAATCACTTGTTCGCTGACCATACATGCTGCATGAAGCGTTGAGCGGATTTAGGATGTGGATTAAATTAAGAACAGGTCACGCCAGCTAACACTTCATTAGGCTAAAACACTGAAGCTTTCAAACAGGTGACTGATGGCCCCTCCACTAAACATTAGAGAACGTCAAGACTCATCAGACATTTTTATTAATCAGTGGTTCTAGAACCCTAATGAGCAATACTCGGGGATCACGTGATCCCATCCATATGGCTCATTTAGTAGTTTAATGGCTGCACCCCTGTCTGGGGATCCCTTCTGGCCTAAGTCTACACATCATCACACCCAGTGGTCAGTGCTGCACGGTTCCTCCAAACTGTTTATCAATAACTACAGACCATGCATCAAAACTGCTACAAAATTGGCCATGACAACCATCTAATTTCTTCTTTCATCTTCCTTTCCCATTAGTTGAAAATAATGAGCTTGTCATTTTTATATTTCAGTTCCATCTAGGCTTTGTCAGTGTGAAAGGTAACTGGAACACTGGTCTATCCCATCATCCCAGAAGGACGGACCCACAAGAGCAATATGGGATATATCGGACTGGCTGGCATCAACACACACAATCTACTGGGGAGGTTACAGTGAAATAACAACTTGGACTTGACTGTTGGAGGTATAACAGTATATACTGAAACTGTATATACTGACTGTGGAATATCACAGCATACAGTCTGTGGGAGTATTTTCAGTACATACTTTCGAGGGAGTATTATCAGTATATACCGACTGTGGAATATCACTTCATACTGACTGTTGGAGTATTGTCATCACTTCATACTGTCTGAGGGAGTATTATCAGTATATACCGACTGTGGAATATCACTTCATACTGACTGTTGGAGTATTGTCATCACTTCATACTGTCAGAGGGAGTATTATCAGTATATACCGACTGTATATACTGACTGTGGAATCATCACTTCATACTGACTGTTCACTTCATACTGAGTTGGAGTATTGTCATCACTTCATACTGACTGAGGGAGTATTATCAGTATATACTGACTGTGGAATATCACTTCATACTGACTGTTGGAATATTGTCATCACTTCATACTGTCTGAGGGAGTATTATCAGTATATACTGACTGTGGAATATCACTTCATACTGACTGTTGAAATATTGTCATCACTTCATACTGTCTGAGGGAGTATTATCAGTATATACTGACTGTGGAACATCACTTCATACAGACTGTTGGAGTATTGTCATCACTTCATACTGACTGGGAGTATTATCGGTATATACTGACTGTGGAACATCACTTCATACAGACTGTTGGGGTATTGTCATCACTTCATACTGACTGGGAGTATTATCGGTATATACTGACTGTGGAACATCACTTCATACAGACTGTTGGAGTATTGTCAGTATATACTGACTGTGGAACATCACTTCATACTGACATTGGATGGAATATCAGTTTATATTATAACTGTGAAATAAAAGTCACCTTTCACAAGAACTGTGATAAACAAGTTACATCCACAACAGCTGGGTTATAATCACATTCAACAAATGCTGTGGTATAACTGAACATACACCTGGAAAATTATGATGAAATAAAAAGAAGACAGAATAACAGCTGAACACTTCCTCCCAATTGTTCAAGTCTCCTGTTCTGGATGAGCAACTCAAGCCTGAAGTGATGTAGCACATGTACTGCCAAAATGTTGTAAGTATATACTAGCAGCTTGATACGCCTCATACTTATCATGCCTATTTTATCACAGTGCGTCTTATCAACGATTCACTCACACAGCATGTTAGAGCGAGAAGCATAATTCATTCAGACAAATGGGAATAATACTGCCATTCATCCAGGAAACACCTTTTATCTTCTACTCCCTCATCTCTTGAAGTGACGCTGGCTGCGACAATAATAATCTAAAAAAGTCATTTACACAATGCTATTACCTTAAATAGCTTCAAAGAAATCAATACACGATAAATTTCATTACACTATAATAGCTCACAAAAAGGTAACCTATCTATCAGTGGTGAAATAATCCGGTCTCCACGGTGAGACTAAATGCAATGAATGCTGATGTGGTTGTCTGCCTTCTTAATAGTGAGTGAGGTAAGTTTTACATTGCTTTTAGCAATATTCCTGCAATATCACGGCCGTCGGACACCAGAATCGAACCCTGGCCTTCGGTGTAACGAGCGAACGCTTTAACCACTGGGCTACCCCACCGTCCCTCCTTCCTAATAACTCTTGCCAGGTGAATATAGGAATTATATAATGGCTGGTATATATGATGTATTTTATTCATGCGCATTGCTCCATGCACAATGCATGCTCGAAGCGCCCAAACAATCTGAATATTATAACCCCAGATAACCCAAGCTGCCTTACATGCTTTACATGCTTACATGACTTTATCCCACCGGGTACCCATATTTGGTTGGGTGAACAGAGGTAATTTTGAACAAACTCACTTGCCTGAGGTGAGACCACATGTAACACATGTGCTTCATTGTAGGGCAGGACTGAAGTCCTAGAACCTCTCAGGAGTCAAGGTGTCACACACAGTCACCCATCCATCTTAACTTTATCTGATTTATTTTCAAACAAGTAACAGAACTAGTGATAATATTTCATGTGGAATGGAGCCATGATATAACACTGTAATGAAATGGTCCTGTTTTTCAAATGTTGATTGTATAACTTGGTTTTGCAGGATCCAGGGTCCTTGTTTGAACATCACTGATGAGGAGGACAACAACACCGGGCTAGGAAGTGAGCGGGCCAAGCTGTTGTTTGAGGATGTCAGCTACATAGTGTATGGCTTCGCCCTACCGAGTGTGTGTCTGTTTGGAATGGTGGGCAATGTCCTTAACCTAACCATTTTAACACGGCGTAAACTTCAGAAATCTTTCCGCACACTTGAAATGGCAGCTAACTACTGCCTTGTGGCATTAGCTGTATCTGATCTTATGTTTTGTGTATTTGCTTTTCCGACTACATTTCTTTCTGGGGATGACATGTACGACAATACTGCGTTTCTTCTGAAGTATCGGATGTACGGGACGGCCATCATCAATGTGTTCATCATGGTCAGCACGTGGCTGACTGTTGCCATGTCGCTGGAACGCTTCCTGGCAATTTGTTATCCTCTTCGGCAAGACTTATATTTAACAACACGTCGGATAAAAATCATCATTGTGATCTCATACATATTTTCCTTTATCTTCAATGTTCCGATTCTGTGGCGGTATGAACCCAGACTCCTGTGTAGCACAAATTCATCACATCCTATTTACATGCCAAAAGCAGTTCCCTTACTGGGCAGCGTGAAAATCGACACAGCTTACCGGATACTGTGGGCTTTCATCGGAAACTTCATTCCTCTGATCCTGCTCTTCTACTTCAATGTGTGTTTGTGCAGAAAGATCTATCGTTCATACAAAATGAGACAAAAATTTAAACAAGATCGACATGGATCAGAAAACTCGAGCCACACTCTAACAATAACGCTTGTGGTGATTGTGGTGATGTTTTTCATCCTGGTGGCCCCATCGGAGATTGTGATTGTGATAACCAAAATAACAAACAATGAGAGCAACTATTCCTATGACTATAGAAGCTGTGATGAACTTCCTGCAGTCGCTGAACTTCTCGGTCAACTTCATCCTGTACTGCATCATCAGCCCGTACTTCAGGAAGACGCTCAAGTACATCTTCTGCTGCGGCTGCTACAACATCTACCAGGTATCCAAGCAGTGGAAGAAGGAGTTTGAAACCTCACTCATGTGACAATCAGCCCCCCCAGACGGAACTGGAATTACAAAGTTTCTCATAAACTCAATCTCATTACAATCAGACAGCTTTCTCCAATTTGACATTCTCTGATACTTGATACATTGTATCGATACAAGCATCCCTCTTTAGGAGATGATGTCATGTGACCTTTCTCATCAGCCTATCAGTATGGCGGCTTTGAAAAACATTCGGTAACAGCAAGTTATTATTCAGTGGAGCATGCTGTGAACAGATAATGCTACAGCTGTCAAAACGAGCATGAACAGACAGTTCCAAACGGACAACAATAACGGTGGTGCAATACTGTGTATATGTTACAATTGTTGCTTCAGTCGCATTACACAATTAAGGACACAAGAATTTCTTTCAGCTTCATTTTTCCTAGACACCAAGTATTTGTGAAGAAGCAAGTAAATTTACTTGTTTAGACAGCTCACATCTGACAGGCTCATAAAAATCCATCTTTCATGGAGACAGTGTTTTCAGGATGACCTTATGAGATCTATCTAGGGACTGCAAGGTCCTGGTGGAGTTCATGATATATTTGGAGCAAAATCTGCTTTTAATGACAGTGCTCTTAAACCACAGACTTTACCAAAGATAATGTCAGTATATTTATGAATGACTTCAGTTTCAATTAATCTTATTTTTTGTGAATTTGAAATCCATCTTTTACACATTTCCCCCATGTATGTCATATAGGATTTATACACCAGTGTTGGGCACAGTCTTCAACAATGTGTCAGTATTACCCTCTTGATCATTAGCATCCTCCTGGGATATGCACATAGAACAATTCATTGTCATCAGGTAGAAAAAGTGCTATGTCAGCAGAAACATTTCACCCTCAATCTTGTAGGACTTGTACCCACTCTTAGGACATCATCACTTTAGTCAGTGTGAGTACTTCAGCACAATCTAGCCCTCCATCCATTCATCAATTTACTTCCCAATCCAATCACTGTAAATGAATAAGGTCACCCAGATATAAAGGTAATGATCCACTGTGCGTGGACGTAATCTGTGATGCAGTATCTATTTGCATGAATATTCTTGTTTAGATTGCCATGGCATACTGTGACAGGCTACAGAAACAAGAAAGTAGTTGTGGCCTATGAACTGAGTGAATGTAATGACCTGTACATATCCTGTCCAGTCAAGAGACTCTGGTCGCTGCAGGCTGGAAATATTGCCTTCTATAATTGCCATGAGGGACCAGCCATTTAATACTCTGAGGGCTGGGTTTTCTTTCTTTTTTACAGCCAACACATTAATTGAATTTTCTGTTTCATAAAATTCTTTTTTAACCTGATATTTATTACTTTTACATCATTTTCTGGAACACAACACAGAATATAAAATGGTCGGCCCCAGCCGTGTTGTTGGCCAATGAACTAACATCTACAGTTACCTGACCAAAGAATTTCTTGTTGTGTAATGTTTTCATCAAGAACAATATCCAGACTAGGACGTTTCCTCTCAGGTAACTACAGCTGTGCGCTGTTGATGTTGGTATGTATATATCCATTATTACACATCGGATGGTCCATATGATTCAAATCAGAATTTCACTGAATATGGACTTATTCCTTATAAAATGTGCATAATATATAGTTTCCATGGAGACAGTCTATATCTTGTTGCCAGTCTCTGTTCTTTTATCTTTAAGAATTTACCCCCAAATATTATTTTTTTTGTTCTTACTATCATTATCATAAACTTGAAACATTTTCAGCTAAAATAATCTTTTGTGAATTAGAAAATATTATGGTTAATATGCAGGTGTTGTTATAACATTATGATTATGCTGTAAAAGGCTTTCATTCTGCATAGTTGATATATAAGGGAAATATTCCGACTGAACATAGTTTTGCATGTCCACCCTATAGTCTGTGTAGAAACAGTGTTATGTATGTCCAGACCCGACAGCACATTTGTTAGAAACCTTGACATATTAGATATAATAGTTGCTCCTCCATGTCAGGTTACTGTGAATACTTGTGAGTCAAGAAGCTTGAAGGACCTGTCCAGTTTAGTGAGGTTCCACTGTTTAAAGAACAGACACTGGCACAGGTGTGATGTTATTGCTCTGTATGACTGATGTGCGCGGAATAAAAGTTATAATGTTGACACATCACTCTTCTCTTTACTGAAACTTCCCCACTGTAGGACATTTATTTCAATTATTTCAATTTCAAATATTTCAATGAAACATATATTTCTTGTTGGTTTGGGATGTTTTCAAAAATAATGAAAAATAAAGATGCCATCGGACAAATAACTAACGATGAATCAGACCAGTCACCAAAATCTTACACGGCGTATGAATGAGCTTGGTCCAAAACAGTGAAAGTAAAAAATACATACATGAAAATGTTGTGTTGGTGTGAAATATCTTTACTTTGTTTACTCCGTTCTTTTTGCACTCGCCTTATACTGCAAGAGTTTATGGAAGGAACTGAACTTAGATCATAATATACTTCTCCACATTTATCGTCAGATGTTTCCCCCCCCAAAACTATACCCAAAGAAATGCCTGGTTTTCCTGGCCTACCAGAGTCCTCAGTCAATCTGTATTCTGGTACTGAAAAGGCCTCAGGCCTAAACCTATCTACTCATTTTTCTCAAGTTGAACCACTGATTTTCCTGTTTCATCCACTAACATACATTCACCAAGTTTCACTATTGACAAATCAGTCACTAAATTGACTGATTTAATTTCATTTATTAGCCAGCATTGCAAATCAAAGTTATAAATAAAAGAAAACATTAAACATGAGTATACAAATTTACAAAATCAAGGGGAAGGACTGAAACAGAGTTCTCCATCTGGCAATACATCCTAGCTACACAAACACAAAGTAGTGTTCCACATTATGCCTTGTCCCAGCTTAATGCTCCAATAAACGCTACTACCCCCAATAAATTAGAATCAACTAAATGTCCTTTCAGAGCCTCATTTGCTCACCCCAAAACCCAAATACTACTTTACGTCAATCTCATTCTTCAAAGGCAAAATGTGCTATTGAATATGCTACTAGAGTGTAAATATAAATTATTATTGATAAAATAATATATATAAAATACAGCATATGTTATAACTGGATTACACTTTCTGAGTCAATCCCAGAATCAAACCCACACTCTGAGTCAGGCACCTAACAAAAGTACTAGAATCTGTACTTAATTGAGAAAGTGTTATCCCCAATATAGTATGTTACATTTGACCATTTTCTAAATGGCACTGTGTATTCATATAAAAAATACATTTATCTTTAAGATTATTACATTTAAAATTGGTTGAATATGTATGCCAACTATTATTTTGTAGTACAACAGGAAGACATTGGAGTCTCAAGGAACCTGTGTTACAGAGGTCAGTCAGTAGTAAACATGAAGAATGGACCAGCAAGGAACCTGTGTACAGAGGTCAGTCAGTAGTAAACAGGAAGAATGGACCAGCAAGGAACCTGTGTACAGAGGTCAGTCAGTAGTAAACATGAAGAATGGACCAGCAAGGAACCTGTGTACACGGAGGTCAGTCAGTAGTAAACATGAAGAATGGACCAGCAAGGAACCTGTGTACAGAGGTCAGTCAGTAGTAAACAGTAGGAAGAATGGACCAGCCAGCAGGAAGCCAACAGGAAGAATGGACCAGCAAGGAAACAGAGGTCAGTCAGTAGTAAACAGGAAGAAAGAGATCCATAAACAAATGGTCCGGTTTTGGAATTAAAAATAAGCTGAAAATAAAATACTAAAGCTGAAGTAAAAAAGTGTATCTGTCGCCCTCTAAGTGTCACATTTGTGTAGGTCACAGGAAGGATGCATCCCGACCTTGATGTAATCGTCCTAAATAGACTTCCATATCAGCTCATCACAGGTGATCTTTCCAACATGAAACATGACATAGGGAACGTGGTGAAGGGGGCAAGGTGTCATGTTTGAAGTTGTTACATATTTCTGAAATACATACATGTTACATTGTGCATGGTTTAATGTAACAGTGTGTTACTACAGCTTGCTGTGCTTCATGCAATAGATGACCTGGAGGCTGATCACAAGCATTGGGAGAGCGTTTCAGAACAATGTTTATACATCACTTTCTGAGTTCAGTCCAGAGGAGTAGGCAGGTGAAGACATGACACTATTATGTATAACAACTTCTGTATTTCTTGTCACAATGCTTCTGGGCTACCTGGATGTTTATCGGTATTAATCCTATCAAGTAACTGGAACATCCTTGAAACATTGTTACAAGCACTAAAGGTGTTCTTCTTTGAGAGGCATTTAGAAGTTGGAGCAGTAAGGAAGGATAACAATATATGGATAACAATTTCTTTATTGCTGCGAGATGTGAAGAGCTGTGAGAGCTGTGCAGCTGTGAGAGCTGTGAGAGCTGTGACAGCTGTGAGAGCTGAGCTGTGAGAGCTGCGAGAGCTGTGTGCAGCTGAGCTGTGCAGCTGTGAGAGCTGCAAGAGCTGTGAGAAGCTGCGAGGAGCTGTGAGAGCTGTGAGAGAGAGTTGTGAGAGCTGTGAGAGCTGTGAAAGCTGTGCAAGAGCTGTGCAGCTGAGAGCTGCGAGAGCTGAGAGCTGTGAGAGCTGCAGAGCTGAGAGCTGTGCAGCTGTGAGAGCTGCAAGAGCTCTCGCAGCAATAAAGAAGTTATAAAGAAGGACTTGGAGTCATTCCAAAGATGCCATCCTTTCCATCGAGGTCAGCCAACCTCACATCAGAAGGTCCCTGGTTTGAATCCCATCATGGGACCTGTAAGTGTCTTTGGGGTCTAAGACTTTACTATACAGGTGTTCACACTTCGTATCCTTTCCTATCCTGGTAATGAATACATTCTGATAAGTTTCTAGCCTCAACCAAGATTTTCACCTGCTTACTGGCCAGTATCATGTTGTGAGCAAACATTCCCAAACTGGAACAAATAGTTTCCAGTTCATGTCAATATATTTATAACTGTTGTGATGGCTTTCAAGAGGTAACTTTTACTACACCGACAACAGGACAAATATGGAACAAGACGTCTAACTGTCAGTATCAAATTTTATGAACTTTCTGCAATGTCAAAATGCCTTCTGAATTAAATTACCCTAAATGCCAACTGTAAAAAAAATGACAATGCTACTCCAAAAATCCCTGCCAAAACACTTAGGTTTAAATCCTAGATATATTCCTGACAACTTTGGAAACCAGTTGAGCACAAGTATACTATGGGCAGTCTTACTGCAGAGAGTTCCAGGGATCAAGTAAATGTTGTTTTGCATCACAAAATGGCCTTCATATCAAATCCAGGAAGGGATATCAGTGGGTGGTGTGTTTGGGGGTTGTTTTTGTTGCAAAACACCACACACGGTGAAAATATTCCAGCTAATGACAGCACTCTATAAATAATCAAGCCCAGAGCAGACAATCCAGTGATTACAATTTACTCAATTTGAATACGATTACCCAAGACAGCAAGACTGACCACCCTAACTTTTAGTCATCTCTTACAACAAGCATGGGTTGCTGAACATGAAGACCGATTCTCAACAGGGTCCTCACAGGTGTGAGGCACACAATCAGGCATGCCACACATTGTAACCATGACGTTATCTACCTAAGGTGTTGAGGGATATGTTTCACTTGGAATCCCCAGAAGGGTCATTAGGAGACCACTAATCACATGAATGTACTTGAGAACCATTTCAGTTCATTATAAACATCATCATTCTGAACATCAATTTAATATTATACAGTACACAGCAAATGGCTGGAACAGAGAAACTCCATTATTTCTGTCAGTTTGTTGTAAGTATAAACATAGTTTACTGTAGTTGGATAATGACCAAAAAAGATTGGTTCTATTGAAACCCATGAAAGTGCTACTGTACTTGAGGAACCAATGAATCAATATTTATTTTTAAAAATGCAAAACATATCTCAGAAAGGAAATATTGCTGTCCTTGCAGCCATACAAAAGACATTACTTTTAAAATGTTTACTGTTTTTTTCAGTTACTAAATTATTGCTTTTAATCCTGTTGCTCATCCTAGATCTGAAATGTCATCAGCATGTTCAAAATCATATCGGTTATACATCAAATTTCCAGGTAACCCTTAGGGTCTGCTAGTTATATTTTCCTTTCTTATAAGATCTTTTTAGATAACTATTGAACTTGTGAACGTGCCCACGTGAGTGGCAAAAGATCCCCTTTGAAACATCTCCAAGCAATGCTTCACTGAAAACACTTGATTCTTGCTTGAAGATAAAACATGTTGTTGATCCCAATTCCCTCCTGTTGTAGGACAGCCTAGAATATCCTGTCAGCTACTTTGAACAACATCAGTTCAGAATAACTCTGGGAGATGGGTACAGCCCAGTACCTCAGGGTAAACACACATGAATGGATGTTTTCCCATAGAAATGTCACAGCAGATTAAACTGGGCCAATCATTTATGGATGCCATTTGTAACCTAAACCACTGACACTGACACTGACCAAAGTCAATGTCTCGTTCCATCAAAACCAGTTAGTCAGCAAACAAGTGAGTGTCCCCTCTCTTGGTCAACAGTTCATCATTAGATGGTGCCCTGAGGTACCGCCAGATACCATCAGCTACAAGGACTCTATTCCTGGACCACCAGTGGTATTTGTGTACATCTAGAGTACAGATAGGGCGAACATGTTGATCTCAACAGGTTTCCTCTCCAAGCACACATACTTCATTCACACTCTGGTTCATTCAGACAACAGAACCGACATGAATGACACACTAACATTTGTACAGGATTAACTGAAGTAACTTTCAAACTTAATTGTGTCAAATAACTGAATCAGCACTGTCACAGTCAGTTGTTGATGAGAAAGTTGTCGTTAATTAACCATACTTGAAAATAACATGAATGTTTGACTAGTCGAGCAGGTAACTACCCAGCAGGCACATCAACATCTAATAGACGTCTACACAATACATGTACGTTGAAAAGACATCTAAATATAGTTTAAAGTCTAGAAGCTGTTGAAACTTAAACATCGTTTAGACGTCTAAAGATAGACGTCATCTAAACGTTGAAAAAAAGGTATAAAAGACGTTGATTAGATGCCAATTACTGTATTGTTTTAATGGTGCACCAAAACACATTT